TGTGAAGAGACAGGCTGGGAGGGAGATTAACGGAAATCCGAACCGAAAAGGGGTTAGGGGAGGAGCGGAAAGCCTCGGGGCAGGTGGGGACCGCCCCCCCCCGCGCTCTCGTGCACGGCCATCGGGGGGCGCAAAGGCTCAGGAACGTGTCTCCTGAACACAGGAGACGGCCAGTGGGTTTTTGGTTCCCCCGCACGCCGGATTTAGCGAGTCATGGGCTCGGCGCCATTCCAGGCTGATCGAGGTGGAGCTGAAGCTCAGACGGACTGCAGCATCCTCCTTTCTGCTTCTGCCTTTTCCCTCTTTTTAAACACCCCCCCCCATCAGTAAAGATTTCCTCGCTGCCTGGGTGGCACGTAGAGGTAGTGGGGGAGTGAAGGAGGCCCTGCTAGTTAGCGAGCAGCCGAACGGACAGACGGGTCTCATTGTCACACACACAGATACACACACACAGTCACAGTCACTCACAGACATACACATACACACAGTCACAGTCATTCACAGGCACACACACACAGTCACAGTCACTCACAGACACACATACAGTCACAGTCACTCACAGACATACACACACACACAGTCACTCACAGACATACACACACACACAGTCACAGTAACTCAGACATACACACACACACAGTCACTCACAGACATACACACACACACAGTCACAGTCACTCACAGACATACACACACACACAGTCATTCACAGGCACACACACACAGTCACGGTCACTCACAGACATACACACACACAGTCACTCACAGACATACACACACACTGTCACTCACAGACATACACACACACACACAGTCACAGTCATTCACAGGCACACACACACACACAGTCACGGTCACTCACAGACATACACACACACAGTCACTGTCACTCACAGACATACACATACACACAGTCACTGTCACTCACAGACATACACACACACACACAGTCACAGTCATTCACAGGCACACACACACACAGAAGCTTAAAGGTGCCGGCCTGGCACTCTGGTCAGACCCCCATCTCAGAGGCGAGTGTTGAGCCAGCAGGCGCACTCTGGCGTTGATGAACGGTGTAATCGCACTGCACCGCGCACCCCCCTCCTAAAGCATAAATCTCCAGGGCCATTTTTGGCACGCTCCGCTGTGGGGTCGAGCCCCATAAATAAAAAGGTCTGGGTGAACACGTGTCAGAGCCCCAGCCCGTCATTACAGAGTGGGGGAGGGTCACAGTCCCCACAGGCTATCTGCTAATACTCGTATATCCATCACCCCCCCGATGGCCCCGGGGCCCTCACCCGCTGCCGGGGCCTCCTCCAGGAGCCGCAGCTGGAGCTGCAGGATCTTCTCCTGCAGGTCACACAGTGAGAGCTTCATCTTCTCCCGGCGAGTCACCATGTAGCACAGGTTGCGGACCTGCGGGGAGAAGCATAGCGAGTCCATGGGCGGCCAGGCAGGGGCGCAAACGGCAGCCCGTCAACATATGACCAATCCCACCCAAGACACCTGCCACATTTCCAATGTAAAGAAAATGGTTGTGGGCCACAAAGTGACCTGGGGGTGCCGCATGTGGGCAGCGCCAAGTGACCTGGGGGCGTGGCATGTGGGCAGCGCCAAGTGACCTGGGGGCGTGGCATGTGGGCAGCGCCAAGTGACCTGGGGGCGTGGCATGTGGGCAGCGGCAAGTGACCTGGGGGCGTGGCATGTGGGCAGCGGCAAGTGACCTGAGGGTGTGGCCTGTGGGCAGCGCCAAGTGACCTGGGGGCGTGGCATGTGAGCAGTGCCAAGTGACCTGGGGGCGTGGCATGTGAGCAGCGCCAAGTGACCTGAGGGCGGGGCATGTGGGCAGCGCCAAGTTACCTGGGGGCGTGGCATGTGGGCAGTGCCAAGTGACCTGGGGGCATGGCATGTGAGCAGCGTCAAGTGACCTGGGGGCGCGGCATGTGGGCAGTGCCAAGTGACCTGNGTGGGCAGTGCCAAGTGACCTGGGGGCATGGCATGTGAGCAGCGTCAAGTGACCTGGGGGCGCGGCATGTGGGCAGTGCCAAGTGACCTGGGGGCGTGGCATGTGGGCAGCGCCAAGTGACCTGGGGGCGCGGCATGTGGGCAGCGCCAAGTGACCTGGGGATGTGGTCTGTGGCACCCCTTTGTGCCCTTCAATTGCCCTCTGAACAACAGAAAGATCATTATCCCTGGGCCGCAAGCACAGGCAGTTCCACATCACAAGGAGGAGACAGTGTCAATAGGAGTCTTTTGAGGGTTGGGGTAAGGCGATTTTCCAGCGTCAATTTCTGCCTCAAATCTGCCTTCTCCAGCAGCTTCCACATTCCTCCTGTGTGCATCTCACCGGATTTATATATGTCAACATGGGATGGCAGGAGAGTAAACAAACATGAGGGATCCTGGATACGCGTTAGTCATCTATCCACGTCTGTCCTGTCTATCGCTGTGCCGGACCCCCGACGGCGGGATAGATGGCGCGGAGGTTGGGGATTAAATGAGGAGACTGTGTCTCCCTGACATGTCGCGGCGATGGCACGGCGTCCTGGAAGCCTGGAGGACAATGGCTAGCTTGTTCCCCGTGAGACAGGCTAGGCGGTGGTGGGGGGGGGTGGAGAATTAGAGACATAAAAGAGAAGGGGAGGGAGGGGTCAAAATAGGAAAATAGAAGTAGTATAGAAGTCCCTAACAACCATTTGAAGTTTACAGAATTTCTTTATACATTAATCATTCTGATTGGTGTATTTGTACTGGCGTCCCATCCAGGGCGTTTCCCAGCCATCGGAACCCTGCGCCCAGGAAGCGGCGCGGTGTTTATCCGGAGCGGCACACGGCTGACATTTTCCCGTTGCCCACACCAGCCTCGTTCTGGGAGCCGCGCCAGCAGTCCCGGGGTCGCCGGTCCTTTGTCAAGCACGATGTCACCTGCGAAACCGTCTCCGCTCAGCACGCCTGTCCCCACGCACCGAGGTGGCAGGGGGAGGGAGGTCACCGATTCGGGGGAACTCAGCCTTTTTTGCAGTGCCAAGCACCTGTCGGAGTAATTAGTGCCCGGGGGCCGGGGCACGCCGGGACGCTGCGTGAACAACGGTGGCACCTACAGATGGGTCCCCTCCCACTTGGCCCTACACGGACGTCCTCGACCAATCAGAATTCAGCAGAACGACATTTAGCGACCAGAACCTTCTAGAATTCTGTACAATTACAGGAAGGACCTATAAACATATGGCAGAATGGCAGAAACGAACGCGTTTAAATAACCAAAGATGTGGCACGTAAAGACCTTCCATTGACTAAACTAATACGGTTTGGCCACTTCAGCCTGCAATGCCAGTCTAGAGCCCCCCTAAAATCAGTACAGTGCCCGCCAACCCTGAAACGGGTAACCTCAAACCACACCACCTTCCCGGCATGACAGTCTCCTGCCAGCTCGAACCCGTGGCACCGGCCCTAAGTCCATCCCGGGAGCTTCGCCCTTTTCCCGTTCTGGCAGTTTTCCCGACTGCCGGACCACCTCTTGAAAAATGAGCCCATGGTCTATCTTTCCAGGTCCAGAGTGTGTCTGGCATCACGGGGCCGTTGTGCCAGAACAGATCGCCGTTTGAACTCAGTCCATAAAAGATTTACGGCGAACTGGGAACGTGAAGCGCGATTCTTATTCTGGGTGACTTCACACGATGAGAAAAGGGTGGCTGATGTATGTCGGTCCCAAGGGTCCACCGGACGTAAGAGAGACGCCAGGGTTGGCGGAATTGATGTCAAAATAAGCCAGTGAGGGTCTGCAGAAAGACACCTTGGCAAACGAGGTGTCTGCTTTATTTAAAAAAAAAAAAAAAAAGCTTGTATTGACATAACAACTGGCATGTCGATATAAACAGCATTTTTAAACCAATTCATCACCAAAGTGGAATGCCCATTTTGGCCCAGTGGGACGGCCTCGTACCCGGCCCTAACAGCTCACCCCCGTACGCGCAACCCCCCCCCCCCCACCGCTATCGATTACACATGGGACCCAGCTGCCGCTGCATATCGGCTAAGGTGAGACATGCGGATGGTTCCGGAACGTTCCCTGAGAAGATGACACACCGATTCTGGATGATCCCCCTCCTGGGATAAATTCAGCCATGTCGTTCACCCGTACCCAGGTGACGGTGACATGGACGGCTTGAATTCGAAGAGGAGATGCTCGAGATTTAGGAAGTCAAGACGGCGCGTCAGCTAACGCTGTGCAGCTCAGCCCGAGACGCCAGAATATGGCTGCGTCTCTCGGTGTGGTGATGGACGGCCGAGGGTTTACTGCAGAGAACGGCGCCGTAAAACACTGGGACACCGGGTCAGCACCGGGCCAGCTGTGAGTCGGGTATTTAATGGACACTCCGTTTTAGTGGGGTGAGGCCGACAGCCTTCCGGAACCTTCCGACACGAATCACGGCCCTGGATACCTACTGGAGCCTGAGCGTAAGGCCTCACCGGGGAGGCTACTAGGAATCCGGAGTTTGCACTTCGATAATCTGATTATCTGAGCTCACCTGCCGAAAACGGACGCCAGACCACAGCCACGTCACGGTGGGAGGGGCATCAAATATTTACGCCCCGCGGATCATTTTTTCATGCCTTTGTGGGGGAGGGGGGGGGACCAGTACTAACGATTTTTTTTTAAGGGGGGGATTTTTGCCATCAGAAAGCAGAGGGAAGGTCCGCCTCTGGAACACGGCATATCCCGGAAAGCTGGGGGGGGCGGGGGGGGGAGAGATTTATACGTGCTGTAAACACCGTTTCCTGGAACCCGAGCTGCGGCAAATCCGCACACACCGGCGTGATATGAAGTTGTCAGATCGTTAATTGCTTCGTAAATATTGCGCGTCGTAATTACATTCCAGGTCACTGAGCATAAAATAAAGACGCACATCACGGTTGATACGTTTCCAGCAAACGAACGAAGTAGACAGGCACGTCTCTCCTGCTGCGATCCAAGGGGCCGGGTGACTCTCGATGGCCGGGGGGATTTAAATCCGGAACCATCCATCTGTAATGTGATGAGTCAGAATCTGCTCTCCCGGGCAGAAAAGCGAGACGTTTTTCTGTAATTCTGTCCTTTCCGTGAACCCTCGGCACTGCCAGGAATGTCGTCTGCGAGCGGGAACCACTGAAAACAATCAGGCGGGGGCCGGGGGGGGGAGGGGGGGTCACCCATATGGGGGAGACATGAATTGAAACCCAGTTGTATGGCATTTAATCCATCCACCGCCCTTTCACCCGCAGGCGAGGTTTCCTCTCAGACCCTGTGAGGGGGGGGGGTTTGGGA